GCGCCTATATCTACCTTCTCTCCCTGTTCCCCTGGTGCCAGATGGAGGAACTAGCTCGGAAGTATGACGTCAAGTACAAGGCGGCTCAGCTGCTTTGATTGAGGTGCCTGCTGGGGTGCTACATGCAAATGCTCGGTCCCTGGTGGCAGATGGAGGAACTAGCTCGGAAGTATGACGACAAGTACAAGGCGGCTCAGCTGTCGGCTGGGAAGCTAGGTTCTCCTCTTAGACGCGCCTATATCTACCTTCTCTCCCTGTTCCCCTGGTGCCAGATGGAGGAGCTAGCTCGGAAGTATGACGTCAAGTACAAGGCGGCTCAGCTGCTTTGATTGAGGTGCCTGCTGGGGTGCTACATGCAAATGCTCGGTCCCTGGTGGCAGATGGAGGAACTAGCTCGGAAGTATGACGACAAGTACAAGGCGGCTCAGCTGTCGGCTGGGAAGCTAGGTTCTCCTCTTAGACGCGCCTATATCTACCTTCTCTCCCTGTTCCCCTGGTGCCAGATGGAGGAGCTAGCTCGGAAGTATGACGTCAAGTACAAGGCGGCTCAGCTGCTTTGATTGAGGTGCCTGCTGGGGTGCTACATGCAAATGCTCGGTCCCTGGTGGCAGATGGAGGAACTAGCTCGGAAGTATGACGACAAGTACAAGGCGGCTCAGCTGTCGGCTGGGAAGCTAGGTTCTCCTCTTAGACGCGCCTATATCTACCTTCTCTCCCTGTTCCCCTGGTGCCAGATGGAGGAACTAGCTCGGAAGTATGACGTCAAGTACAAGGCGGCTCAGCTGCTTTGATTGAGGTGCCTGCTGGGGTGCTACATGCAAATGCTCGGTCCCTGGTGGCAGATGGAGGAACTAGCTCGGAAGTATGACGACAAGTACAAGGCGGCTCAGCTGTCGGCTGGGAAGCTAGGTTCTCCTCTTAGACGCGCCTATATCTACCTTCTCTCCCTGTTCCCCTGGTGCCAGATGGAGGAGCTAGCTCGGAAGTATGACGTCAAGTACAAGGCGGCTCAGCTTCTTTGATTGAGGTGCCTGCTGGGGTGCTACATGCAAATGCTCGGTCCCTGGTGGCAGATGGAGGAACTAGCTCGGAAGTATGACGACAAGTACAAGGCGGCTCAGCTGTCGGCTGGGAAGCTAGGTTCTCCTCTTAGACGCGCCTATATCTACCTTCTCTCCCTGTTCCCCTGGTGCCAGATGGAGGAGCTAGCTCGGAAGTATGACGTCAAGTACAAGGCGGCTCAGCTGCTTTGATTGAGGTGCCTGCTGGGGTGCTACATGCAAATGCTCGGTCCCTGGTGGCAGATGGAGGAACTAGCTCGGAAGTATGACGACAAGTACAAGGCGGCTCAGCTGTCGGCTGGGAAGCTAGGTTCTCCTCTTAGACGCGCCTATATCTACCTTCTCTCCCTGTTCCCCTGGTGCCAGATGGAGGAACTAGCTCGGAAGTATGACGTCAAGTACAAGGCGGCTCAGCTGCTTTGATTGAGGTGCCTGCTGGGGTGCTACATGCAAATGCTCGGTCCCTGGTGGCAGATGGAGGAACTAGCTCGGAAGTATGACGACAAGTACAAGGCGGCTCAGCTGTCGGCTGGGAAGCTAGGTTCTCCTCTTAGACGCGCCTATATCTACCTTCTCTCCCTGTTCCCCTGGTGCCAGATGGAGGAACTAGCTCGGAAGTATGACGTGAAGTACAAGGCGGCTCAGCTGCTTTGATTGAGGTGCCTGCTGGGGTGCTACATGCAAATGCTCGGTCCCTGGTGGCAGATGGAGGAACTAGCTCGGAAGTATGACGACAAGTACAAGGCGGCTCAGCTGTCGGCTGGGAAGCTAGGTTCTCCTCTTAGACGCGCCTATATCTACCTTCTCTCCCTGTTCCCCTGGTGCCAGATGGAGGAACTAGCTCGGAAGTATGACGTCAAGTACAAGGCGGCTCAGCTGCTTTGATTGAGGTGCCTGCTGGGGTGCTACATGCAAATGCTCGGTCCCTGGTGGCAGATGGAGGAACTAGCTCGGAAGTATGACGACAAGTACAAGGCGGCTCAGCTGTCGGCTGGGAAGCTAGGTTCTCCTCTTAGACGCGCCTATATCTACCTTCTCTCCCTGTTCCCCTGGTGCCAGATGGAGGAGCTAGCTCGGAAGTATGACGTCAAGTACAAGGCGGCTCAGCTGCTTTGATTGAGGTGCCTGCTGGGGTGCTACATGCAAATGCTCGGTCCCTGGTGGCAGATGGAGGAACTAGCTCGGAAGTATGACGACAAGTACAAGGCGGCTCAGCTGTCGGCTGGGAAGCTAGGTTCTCCTCTTAGACGCGCCTATATCTACCTTCTCTCCCTGTTCCCCTGGTGCCAGATGGAGGAACTAGCTCGGAAGTATGACGTCAAGTACAAGGCGGCTCAGCTGCTTTGATTGAGGTGCCTGCTGGGGTGCTACATGCAAATGCTCGGTCCCTGGTGGCAGATGGAGGAACTAGCTCGGAAGTATGACGACAAGTACAAGGCGGCTCAGCTGTCGGCTGGGAAGCTAGGTTCTCCTCTTAGACGCGCCTATATCTACCTTCTCTCCCTGTTCCCCTGGTGCCAGATGGAGGAGCTAGCTCGGAAGTATGACGTCAAGTACAAGGCGGCTCAGCTGCTTTGATTGAGGTGCCTGCTGGGGTGCTACATGCAAATGCTCGGTCCCTGGTGGCAGATGGAGGAACTAGCTCGGAAGTATGACGACAAGTACAAGGCGGCTCAGCTGTCGGCTGGGAAGCTAGGTTCTCCTCTTAGACGCGCCTATATCTACCTTCTCTCCCTGTTCCCCTGGTGCCAGATGGAGGAACTAGCTCGGAAGTATGACGTCAAGTACAAGGCGGCTCAGCTGCTTTGATTGAGGTGCCTGCTGGGGTGCTACATGCAAATGCTCGGTCCCTGGTGGCAGATGGAGGAACTAGCTCGGAAGTATGACGACAAGTACAAGGCGGCTCAGCTGTCGGCTGGGAAGCTAGGTTCTCCTCTTAGACGCGCCTATATCTACCTTCTCTCCCTGTTCCCCTGGTGCCAGATGGAGGAACTAGCTCGGAAGTATGACGTCAAGTACAAGGCGGCTCAGCTGCTTTGATTGAGGTGCCTGCTGGGGTGCTACATGCAAATGCTCGGTCCCTGGTGGCAGATGGAGGAACTAGCTCGGAAGTATGACGACAAGTACAAGGCGGCTCAGCTGTCGGCTGGGAAGCTAGGTTCTCCTCTTAGACGCGCCTATATCTACCTTCTCTCCCTGTTCCCCTGGTGCCAGATGGAGGAGCTAGCTCGGAAGTATGACGTCAAGTACAAGGCGGCTCAGCTGCTTTGATTGAGGTGCCTGCTGGGGTGCTACATGCAAATGCTCGGTCCCTGGTGGCAGATGGAGGAACTAGCTCGGAAGTATGACGACAAGTACAAGGCGGCTCAGCTGTCGGCTGGGAAGCTAGGTTCTCCTCTTAGACGCGCCTATATCTACCTTCTCTCCCTGTTCCCCTGGTGCCAGATGGAGGAACTAGCTCGGAAGTATGACGTCAAGTACAAGGCGGCTCAGCTGCTTTGATTGAGGTGCCTGCTGGGGTGCTACATGCAAATGCTCGGTCCCTGGTGGCAGATGGAGGAACTAGCTCGGAAGTATGACGACAAGTACAAGGCGGCTCAGCTGTCGGCTGGGAAGCTAGGTTCTCCTCTTAGACGCGCCTATATCTACCTTCTCTCCCTGTTCCCCTGGTGCCAGATGGAGGAACTAGCTCGGAAGTATGACGTCAAGTACAAGGCGGCTCAGCTGCTTTGATTGAGGTGCCTGCTGGGGTGCTACATGCAAATGCTCGGTCCCTGGTGGCAGATGGAGGAACTAGCTCGGAAGTATGACGACAAGTACAAGGCGGCTCAGCTGTCGGCTGGGAAGCTAGGTTCTCCTCTTAGACGCGCCTATATCTACCTTCTCTCCCTGTTCCCCTGGTGCCAGATGGAGGAGCTAGCTCGGAAGTATGACGTCAAGTACAAGGCGGCTCAGCTGCTTTGATTGAGGTGCCTGCTGGGGTGCTACATGCAAATGCTCGGTCCCTGGTGGCAGATGGAGGAACTAGCTCGGAAGTATGACGACAAGTACAAGGCGGCTCAGCTGTCGGCTGGGAAGCTAGGTTCTCCTCTTAGACGCGCCTATATCTACCTTCTCTCCCTGTTCCCCTGGTGCCAGATGGAGGAGCTAGCTCGGAAGTATGACGTCAAGTACAAGGCGGCTCAGCTGCTTTGATTGAGGTGCCTGCTGGGGTGCTACATGCAAATGCTCGGTCCCTGGTGGCAGATGGAGGAACTAGCTCGGAAGTATGACGACAAGTACAAGGCGGCTCAGCTGTCGGCTGGGAAGCTAGGTTCTCCTCTTAGACGCGCCTATATCTACCTTCTCTCCCTGTTCCCCTGGTGCCAGATGGAGGAGCTAGCTCGGAAGTATGACGTCAAGTACAAGGCGGCTCAGCTGCTTTGATTGAGGTGCCTGCTGGGGTGCTACATGCAAATGCTCGGTCCCTGGTGGCAGATGGAGGAACTAGCTCGGAAGTATGACGACAAGTACAAGGCGGCTCAGCTGTCGGCTGGGAAGCTAGGTTCTCCTCTTAGACGCGCCTATATCTACCTTCTCTCCCTGTTCCCCTGGTGCCAGATGGAGGAGCTAGCTCGGAAGTATGACGTCAAGTACAAGGCGGCTCAGCTGCTTTGATTGAGGTGCCTGCTGGGGTGCTACATGCAAATGCTCGGTCCCTGGTGGCAGATGGAGGAACTAGCTCGGAAGTATGACGACAAGTACAAGGCGGCTCAGCTGTCGGCTGGGAAGCTAGGTTCTCCTCTTAGACGCGCCTATATCTACCTTCTCTCCCTGTTCCCCTGGTGCCAGATGGAGGAGCTAGCTCGGAAGTATGACGTCAAGTACAAGGCGGCTCAGCTGCTTTGATTGAGGTGCCTGCTGGGGTGCTACATGCAAATGCTCGGTCCCTGGTGGCAGATGGAGGAACTAGCTCGGAAGTATGACGACAAGTACAAGGCGGCTCAGCTGTCGGCTGGGAAGCTGGCAGCAGAGGAGCGAGCACTGCAGCAGATGCAGGTGGGTGGGTAGTGTGAACACAAGGTGAGGAAGCAATGCGGTCCTGCTGCAACCACAAGTACAAGGCGGCTCAGCTGTCTGCTGGGAAGCTGGCAGCAGAGGAGCGAGCACTGCAGCAGATGCAGGTATGCAGTGTGATGCAAACGAGAAAAAATATCCCCTTGAAATTAGTCCCTCTGCACTGCTCTGCATCCGTCACATGGTGCTACATCAACTGTCGGCTGGGAAGCTTGCAGCAGAGGAGCGAGCGCTGGTACTCTGCATCCCTCTGCATTCCCCTGCATACCTCTGCACCCCCCTGGCATCCCTCTGCATCCCTCACAGTGCTCACATCGCTCTGCATCTGCTGCATTTCCACCCATTCCTTCTCACAGAAAAAAGTCAGTTGATTATAAACGTTCCATCCCTCTGCATTGCCACGTCAGTCCCTCTCCTCCCGCTGCATCTACTTTCCATCTGCCTCCGTTCCACCCTATCCCGCACCCGCCTCCACCCTACCCCACACCCTTCTCCACCTTCTCCACCCCTTTCCACCCCTCTCCACCCACCCCTCTCCCAGGAGAAGGCTCACATCATCATGAACGCAACGTCAAGGCTGGACCGAGGAGGCGACCCCAACCAGCTGCTGCAGGTGTGGTGCGGTGGGGTGGGGTGGGGTGTGGTGGGGTGTGGTGTGGTGCAAGGGGTTAATGAGTGACAAACCACTTATCTTCAGTAGTGATTGTGAGTGCCGTGCAGCGCTAGAGGTATTTGCGCATGCCACTGCCATCATCACGCCTGTTGCCACGCTATCTCGCTCCATGACTTGCTTTTACCTCCTCATCATCATCATCAGGACAAGGCTGACCGCCTGGCTCTCGAGGTGGAGGAGATGCGCAAAGCAGTGTTCGCGCATGCCACTGCTGTCTGCCTCTCTTGCTGCCCCGCATGCTGCTGTCCCTTACGCTGTCCCTCACACTGTCTCTCGTCCGCATCCCCATCATCAGGACAAGGCAGACCGCCTGGCTCTGGAGGTGGAGGAGATGCGCAAGGCAGTGTTCGCCCATGCCACTGCTGTCCGCCCCTCTCATTCCCTCATGTATCTCTTGTCCACATCCCCATCATCAGGACAAGGCGGACCGCCTGGCTCTGGAGGTAGAGGAGATGCGCAAAGCGGTGTTCGCCTATGCCACTGCTGTCTGCACCTCACTCACGCTGCCCCCCGTCATGCTGTCCCATATATCCCTCTTCCTCAACTCTCAGGACAAGGCAGACCGCCTGGCTCTGGAGGTGGAGGAGATGCGCAAGGCAGTGTTCGCGCATGCCACTGCCATTGGGCTCAAAGTTCGGCCCCTTGTGGGATCTGAAACTCCCTTTGGTAAGCATTCGAATCATGACATCATGCGATCATGCCATCAGTCAATCTTGTTACGTGCCTCCTACCATGGTCATTGGGCTTGGGCATTCAGTGGGGCCTCCGTTGTGGATTTTAAGCGCACTCTCTGTCTAAGTGTTGGTTTTTTCTCCATGTGTTGGCTGTGGGATGGGAGTGACTTTGGAGAGTGTAGACTCTTGTGACAACATATCTGCGTGCAGTGCAGTGAGGTGAATTTTGAGGCGCCTCAAAATATCTTGTGACTCTTGTGACAACATATCTGCGTGCAGTGCAGTGAGGTGAATTTTGAGGTGAGTGTGACTCTTGTAGGAGTCACACTCATAAATTCACCTCACTGCACGGAGAGTGTAGACTCTTGTGACAACATATCCTGTAGATATGTTCAGGAAGTTTCTCGTCAGTCAGTGCAGACAAGATATGCGCATGTACTGAGGGATGGTCATTTCATTCGCCAGGAGAAAGCAACAACTGATGTGGGTTACTGCTGTGTTTTAACTAATGTTTCGCCAAGTGGCTTCTTCGTCTTTCTTCGTTTGTCCAGGCTGGCAGGCGAATCTTCAGGAGAAAGCAACAGACTGGGACGACGAGTGGGACGACGTGCAGTTTGAAGGGTTGGTGGTGGTGCGGGATATTGGAGACACTCCCCTGGCTGTAAACGAAGACCCGTTTCCCAGGCCGAAATCCAAGGAGCAGGAGGAGAAGGGCGGGGCTGCGGCGTCAGCAGCGGCTGAAACTGGCAAGGGAGAAGGGGAGGAGGAGGGTGGGGGAGAGGGAGAGGTGGAGGATGGGAAGAGGGGAGAGGGGATGGCAGCAGACGGGGTTGATGGTGCTGCGAATACGGGAGGGGGAGGCCCAGGAGATGCCAAGGAGAACGAGGAGAAGGAGCAGCATGAGAAGGAGAAGGAGGAGGAGAAGAAGAGGAAGAAGAAGGAAAAGAGCATGGGTTCGGCCCCTTCGGGTCCATCTGACTTCTTCTCTCCGGAGGAGGATGAGGATGCGGATTCGAATGAGGCTATGATTGGCGTGCAGAGGCACGGGGAGGGGGATGAGGACGAGGAGGAGGAGGAGGAGGAGGTGGAGGAAATTGAGATGGATTCGACTCCTGTACTGCAGATTACAGCAGGAGGCGAGGGAGAGGGAGAGGGCCGGGGGAGCAAGGACGGGATGATGGAGGGGGTGGTTGCAGGAGGAGCAGAAGGGGCAGGAGCGGAGAAAACCCAGGAAGCAGAAGCAGGAGCCGGAGGGAAGGAAGGAGAGAGAGAGAGGGGCAGGAGATCGATGGGGAGACGCCAGCAGTGCAAGAGGAGAGTGCAGCATCGGCCTCTCCTGGTGATTCCAAGGAGATTCTTGGCTTCCCCTTCCAAGGCTGGTCCCGCGGCAGTGCAGGAAAAGCAGGAGCAGCAGGAAGCGGAGCAGGAGGAGCAGGAGGAAGAGGGTCAGGAGGAGGAGCAGTGATGCCGAGTTTGGCTGACCTGGCCTCATCCTTCTCTCTCTCTCCAACATCTGGCGTGTCTCCGGTTTCACCAGTCTCTGCTGCAGCATCCACCAGCAGTAGAGCGTCAACTACTGCTTCTCCCTTCAACCCCGCTTCGGTGGCCAAGAGCCTGGCTGCTGCTAATGCTGCTGCTGCAGCAAGCGCTGCTTCTGGAACGCCTGATTCCACCCCTGCTGGTGTTGCTGCTGGTGGCGCTGCTGCTGCCTCGTCAGCAGGGAAGTCCCCACCCTCGGCCACGTCTGTCCGCCGAACCTTAGATCTAGGTTCGGTGGATTCCCCACAGCAAGACAGCACGGCGAGTGGAGCGAGCAGCGCAGGAGGCTTGGGTTTTGGTTCGGTGATGACGGCTGGTCCGGGAGGGAGGTACGGAGAAGGAGCAGGGGCAGGGGCAGGGGCAGGAGCAGGAGCAGGAGCGGGGGCAGTAGCAGGAGGAGGAAGGGATGGGTATGGAGAGGGAGAGGAGGTGTCACGGCCCTACACTGCCCATGGGCTTGTGTCAGCAGATATGGTTGAGAGCGATTCGGAGAGTGACAGTGGAAGAAAGGGCTATGGATCTCGGGGGAGGGAAAGGGACGAGGAGGAGGACGAACAAGAAGCAGATTCGAGTGACACTGCTGCACCGGCTGCTGGCATCCCAGCAGCAGCAACAGCTGCTGCTGCCGCCGCCGCTGCCGCTGCTGCCGCTGCTCCCGCTGCCGCCTTCGGCCTATCTCCCAGTGCGGACAGTGACGGTGGTGCTGCAGTAACAGAGACCAAATCCGGGTCCTTCGCCTTTGATTTCTCAGCAGAGCCGGAGGACCCGTTCGGCTCTTCTGCAGCAGCAGGAGCAGAAGACCCTTCGGACTCCGCGTCTCCCTTCCCCACCTCGTTTAGCACTGAGGGGCGACGGAGGAGTGGAAACGACGAGGCTCAATCGCCCCTTACGCACGCCGCTGCGGGACAGGAGGATAGTCCCGTCCACTCCGGACAGCAGCAGCAGCAGCTGGGGGGTGCTGCAGGCACGTTTGAGTCCTCGCCGTTTCACGCCAAGCCGGTTGATGCCACACCATTTGATGATGCCTCTCAGTTTGACCAGGGTTTCAACCCAGAAGCTGCCCGAGACCCGAGTTTCGGCCGCGATTCGAGCTTTGGCCGCAACCCGAGCTTCTCCAGGGATTCAAGCTTCAAGGGGTACAGGGGGAGCATATTCGATTCTGCGACTGGTGCTGCGAGCTTCAAGGGTGGTTTTGACGCGAGTGCGTTCGATTCTGCCACTGGCACTGCGAGTTTCAAGGGGGGTTTCGATGCGAGTGCGTTCGACCAGCATTACGGGGGAGTGGGGGCGTTTGACCAGAACTATGGTGCGGGCGGTGCTGCTCTCGACACCTCCTCTTCCTTCCGCTCCTCCGTGGATTCCCCATCCGGCCCTCAAGCTCGGGTGAGTGTGTAGAAATGACTGGTTTCAAGGATGGTTTTGATGCGCGTGCGTGCGAGTGCGTTTGACCAGCATTATGGTGCTGGCGGTGCTGCTCTCGACACCTCCTCCTCCTTCTGCTCCTCTGTGGACTCCCCATCCGGCCCTCAAGCTCGGGTGAGTGTGTAGAATTGACTGGTCTCAAGGATGGTTTTGATGCGCGTGCGTGCGAGTGCGTTTGACCAGCATTATGGTGCTGGCGGTGCTGCTCTCGACTCCTCCTCCTTCCGCTCCTCCGTGGATTCCCCATCCGGCCCGCACGCTCGGGTGAGTATGTAAACTTCATGTGCTCAGTTGTTCGAAGTGGGGGCGTTTGACCAGCATTACGGTGCGGGTGGTGCTGCTCTCGACACCTCCTCCTCCTTCTGCTCCTCTGTGGACTCCCCGTCCGGCCCACAGGCTCGGGTGAGTGTGTAGAAATGACTGGTTTCAAGGGTGGTTTTGATGCGAGCGCGTTCGACCAGCATTATGGTGGAGTGGGGGCGTTTGACCAGAACTACAGTGCGGGCGGTGCTGCTCTCAACACCTCCTCCTCCTTCCGTTCCTCTGTGGATTCCCTGTCCGGCCCACATGCTCGGGTGAGTCTAGAATAGAGTGCTTGATCTGTTTAGAGTGAGTCTTGAATAGAGTGCCAGTTCCAGTCCTTTGCCAGTGGTTTCGACGACCATTTCGACTCAATTCCCCTGCCCCCCTTTCTCCCACTCCCTTTCTCACCGGCTCTCCCTCTCACTCTAGTCTGGCGAGTTTCATCCCGGTCAGTTCCAGTCCTTTGCCAGTGGTTTCGACGACCATTTCGACTCAAACTTCGAGCCGAGTAAAACATCCCTCACTCTCCCACCCCACCCTTCTACGCCCCTTTCACCCAACCCCCCTCCCCCCCTTCTTCCAGTCTGGCGAGTTCCATCCCGGCCACTTCCAATCCTTCGCCAGTGGATTCGACAATCATTTCGATTTGAACTTTGAGCAGAGTAAAACATCCCTCTCTCGCCCGCCGTCCCCCCCCTTCCCCCAAACTCACCCTTCCCAGTCTGGCGAGTTTCATCCCGGCCAGTTCCAGTCCTTTGCCAGTGGTTTCGACGACCATTTCGACTCAAACTTGGAGCCGAGTAAAGCATCCCTCACTCCCCCACCCCACCCTTCTCCGCCCCTTTCACCCAAACCACCCCCCCCCCCCCTTCTTCCAGTCTGGCGAGTTCCATCCCGGCCAGTTCCAATCCTTTGCCAGTGGCTTCGACGACCATTTCGACTCGAATCCCTACGGTGCAAGTGCGGGGACTATGGCAGGAGGAAGAGGAGGAAGGGGAGAGGAAGAGGAGGTGCATAGCAGTGAGGAGGAGGACAGTGGAGGTGACCCATTCGCTAGTCTCCGAACCAGTGGGGGCGTTGCAGGTGGTAACCAGCATGTTACCGCGTCGCATTTCGACTCGTACAACTATGACAAGGCGTCGGAAGAGGCGGAAACGCCCGGGGCTGCGAGGCAGGGGGGTGTGCAGCCGGGTAGTGCGAGTGCGTTTGACTCGTTCGGGTGGAACGCATTTGAGTGACTTGTAACCAGCCAGCATGTTACCGCGTCGCATTTCGATGCTTACAACTATTGCAAGGCAGCGGAAAAGGCGGAAACGCCCGGGGCTGCGAGGCAGGGAGGTGTGCAGCCAGGTAGTGCGAGCTCGTTCGACTCGTTCGGATGGAACGCGTTTAAGTGATTTGTGAGAATTTTAAGACATCTCTAGGAACCATGCAGCGGAGTTGGTTGCTTCTGTTTATTTTCTAAAGCAAGTGGAGAATGGTCTTGATGAACGATTTGCGCCTGGCAAGCTATACTGCATAAATAGTCAGAAGCCTGATATTGTATGTGGACGCTAATCTGATTTTGTTTCTAAGTTGGCATGATACGGTATTGGAGTCAGAAGCCTTTCAATTAGTTGGAGCCCACTATTATGTGCAGTATAACCCCTCTTTCTTCGTTTAGGAAATAGGGTTATTGCAGAATACCGTAACCACTTTATAATCTCCCAAAATTACCACTGGCATCTCTCAACTCTGCCGAATGGACCGCTCATGGCGGGTACCAGGCAATATCACATTCGCCCCCTGTGGAGGAGATTCCACCAGTGAGCGAACCCATCGGCCGGCAATCCCAAGGTCGGTTCTTGTCTAACCCAGTCTCTAGTGAAGCATGGCAAGGCAATCCGTCAGGACTCAGGAGGATTCAAGAAGCTGAGGGAATACAGTGCACACAGTCTCAGAGGGAATACCTTAGGGATGATCGGAACCTGAACGACGTTCAGGAAGCTGTGTATGTGCACGCCGGCTGTGACGCTTCCAGTTCAGTTTCTCTGGGATTCGACTGGCAGAATGACAGTCGCTCGACGGATTCTGTTAGCTCGAGGGATCTCGTTAGTTGAGCGGTTTCTGTTTCTGGCTTGCGCTATCGCCCTTCTGCACGTGAGTCTCGTAATCACCCATCGATCATGGTCAACTCGTCATCCATTTACGAAAAAACAAATGAAATGGTTTCATCCTAAGAATTACTCTCGTCCTTCTCACGACCACCGATGCTTTTCTTTTCTTCTTCTTTTGTTAACATAAGTTCTGGACGTTAGTCTTTGACTAGCCTTGGTGGGCCTCCTTCCTGACATTCCGTGCATTCGCCGTTCCGCACACACATGATACATCTCTGCATATAGAATGTCCATGCATTCGCATCCACATTCGCATCCACATTCGCATGGCTCTTCTCTCCTCCCAGCCACGTCACCCAGACTCCCTTCTCCCCCTTTATTTTCGCATCAGGCTGGAAATGCAGCAGCCGAGCGCATTCACCACGGCGATGCCCTTGTGAGTGATTGTATAGTGTGATGTGAGTGCAGCATGATTAGATTATGTGAGTGCAGCATGATTAGATTATGTGAGTGCAGCATGATTAGATTATGTGAGTGCAGCATGATTAGATTATGTGAGTGCAGCATGATTAGATTAGATTATGTGAGTGCAGCATGGCGCGTGTAATCTCACATCATACTGGATATGCAGCAGACGAACTCATTCACCATCGCGATGCCCTTGTGAGTGATTGTATGGTGTGATGTGATGATTTGAATGCAGCATGATGTGATGATGTGAGTGCAGCATGATGTGATGATGCGAGTGCAGCATGATGTGATGATGCGAGTGCAGCATGATGTGATGATGCGAGTGCAGCATGATGTGATGATGCGAGTGCAGCATGATGTGATGATGCGAGTGCAGCATGATGTGATGAGCTGACTCAGGTGAGTGCGGGATGAGGGTGCGAGAACATCAATTGTAACAGCCACCTCATCCTACTTACGAAAAAGTGGCCATGTTAATAAAATAGCTGGTGGATTTTCTACCAAATCTAACAAAGTGTTTTTTCTCCACCCACAAGCATGTATATAATAAATGTATATAGTGAAACCATTTTTTACGGTCGTTTTTAAAGGATACCATTCCTCGCAATCAGAGTTCGAAAAATCGGCGCCTTTTTGCCCCTTGATCATCTGAACAACCGGAGGATGACTATGGAGTTGCCTATCTGAATACATGATTTATCTTCCCACGTATCTTTGTTAACAGTGGAATTTTTTTCTGCTCGCAGCATGTACGAAATATTTTTCCCCCCTTCCTGTTCCCCTTTCTGCTACCCATTCCTCCTCTTCCCTCCCCCTTCCCCCTTCCCTTCTCACTCCCTCCCACCTTTCCCCTCACCTTCTCCCTTCAGTCTCGAGCCATCATTGATGGGTTTCTTGATGACCCCACACTCATCGATTTCAGTTTTCCCGACCAAATATGTGGCACATGGCACCACAACTACACTCGCATGCACCAGCAAATCCGGGCAGCCAGCAAAAATCCTTCCTCTGCCCCGCTGCCCGACACGCCGCCCGTGAAATTTCTCACCTTTGACGGCCTCAGCCACTGCGACAGCCTCGGGGAGACCCTCATGGGGCTGACGTCAGCGTTCACTGTAGCTATCCTCACTAACAGAGCCTTCGTTATAAAGCACCCGTGCATCCCCGTGGCGTTTGAACCTGCGCTGATCGACTGGCAGCCAACAGAAGACGTAGGATTCGAGCCGGTCAGGAATGAAACTTTTCCATTGGACCCTCCTGACCGGGCAGTCAAGCCTCCAATAGGAGCAAGCGACATTGTGGAAATTAATTTGGAATTACATCCCGAGGCGCACCCGGAAAAGGTGTTTCCGCAGGTGGAAGCTGCGCGGAACTTGCGTGTGGTGTGGCATAAAGACCTGCTGGTGCATATGCTGAAGGGGGCGAATGGGTCGGTGTGGGGGGAGAGACTCATGGGCATGGGTATCAGGATCCCGTACGCGTTCGGCTGCTTTGTGCGATACCTGCTGAGGTAAGACCGTGAGAGGCGGGAGATGGGAGGGTGAGAGGTGGGATGTGAGAGGGTGAGAGGTGGGATGTGAGAGTGTGGGAGGTGGGAGGTGAGAGGGTGAGAGGTGAGAGGTGGGAGGGTGAGCGGTGGGAGGTGAGAGGGTGAGCGGTGGGAGGTGAGAGAATGACTGGAGAGAGAGTTGAGAGTTGGTCGAGCTCTTAACCAGCAGACTATCAAGCCTCGTTGACCCCCACCCTCTCGCCGCCCTTCCCGCGCTCCTTCTCTATCCTTCTTCATTTCCTCTATCCTTTTCTGTTTCGCCATTGTCTTTTCTTTCAGGCCCAAGCCGGAGGTGTGGCACGGGATGCAGCCGTTTGAGAAGCAGGTGAGGGGAGACAAGGTCGTGAGCACAGGTGGGCTTATCTCATCAATTCCTCCCCTTTCCCCCTCTCCCATAAACCCTCTATACCCCGCAGGCCCAAGCCGGAGGTGTGGCACAGGATGCAGCCGTTTGAGAAGCAGCTGAGGGGGGACAAGGTGGTGAGCATCGGCCTGCACGTGAGGCACTTCGGCCGCGGATCCCTCCCGCCCAACACCACCATCAGCTCGGACGATTTGAGGAGAGCCGTGAACGACATTATGATGCCTGCCATCAAGTGCGCAAAGGTGGGTGTTCATTCTCAGGAAAAAAAAAGAAAAAAAAAAAGGTTTGGAAAGCACAGGGGACAAGAAGCGGATAGGTCCTCCTCCCCCTTCCCTCCTCCCTCCCTGCTAACAAAAACAAAAACAAACAAACAAACCCATTAGTGCTCCCTCACAGTAAATTCACCTTTAACACCTCCACCACGCACACGCATGGACGAATCTGAGAAACTGGTGGTAGTATTCTCTCTTCACTCTTCCCACCCCTCCCCACACGCGCACATTGCAGGTTGTAGAGAACTGGTGGTACCCGCCATTCCTCGATGTGAAGTGGCTCGCTATTAGCATTCAATCCAGCTCTTTCCACCTCTCTGACACCCCCACCCCCACTCCCACCCCTCCCCATACCACCACATGGCAGGATGTGGAAAACTGGTGGTACCCGCCATTCCTGAATGTGAAGTGGCTCGTTATTAGTGATTCACTGCAACTCAAACAGAAGGCCATCGAAGTGAACGAGTCAAAGGTGACGTGACAAGAAGGAGTCAGAGGTGATGTGATTCTAAGAAGTGAATGGTGGTGTGATTGTAACAAGTCAAAGGTGATGTGATTGTAGGAAGTTTAAGGTGATGTGATTCATAATGAGCCCAATGGGATGTGATTCATAATGAGCCCAATGGGATGTGATGTATAATGAGCCCATGGTGATGTGATTCATAATAAGCCCATGGTGATGTGATTCATAATGAACCCATTGTGATGTAATTATTACAGGTCCAAGGTAATGTGACTAACGAGTTCAAGGTGATGTGACTGTGATGTTTTATCTTGGCCCTCTCCTCTCCTCGCCTCTACCCTCTTCTCTCCTCCCCCCTCCTCTCCTCTCCTATCCTCTCCTCTCACTTCTTCCCATCATTATTGATTTCCGAGCCTCCCTCCTCACCATCACCACCACCCTCCCCTCGAAAATTCTAAACCATCTTATTTCTATTCCCTCTCTTTCCTGGGTACCTATCACCACATCTAAGTGCCCGCATCCCCCTTTCCGCTATATCGTTTCCATTATTACTTAAAACATCTTACACACTCGTCCCACCTCCTCATCCTGCTTTTCACCCACCCCACTTCCTTTGCAGATCGTTATCACCGAATTCGACCCGTGGGTCCCGACCTCACTCCTCAACATCAGCCAAAGCCCCCCTCCCGCACCCGCACCAACACCCTCTCCCGCTCCCACCTCCGAACCTCCTCCCAGTCCCGCCACCCCAGAGGGACCCCCTCTCCCTCCCATCCCCACTGTTCAAGAATTCCAAGAGACAGTCACCGAGTGGCTTCTCCTCTCCTCGTGCAACTCCTTTATTGTTTCTACCTCCGCCTTTGGTCGTACGGCTGCCATGTATTCGATGCATCCTATGAGCATGTACATGCCACGTTCATGCGACCCTCAGACTCCCGTCCGCGTTAGCAGCTTTGGAGAGGAGTCCAAGCGGCAATTCTGAGACGATATGCATTGCAGTGTATCGTTGCGTGTAATGTGTTTGAAAGTCCGCTGCGTCTTTTGTGGCAGCTGTACATCTATGTTGCACTAAACTGAGTCCATCCTCCATACATCCCATGAGCGTTCCCACAGCGGGGTGAGATATGCAAAGGCCGTACACCATAGTATGATAATTATAGCACCCCTATAATTATGATAATTACTGCTGAATCAGCAGCAGTTTGAGAGGGGCTGAAATAGCAGTTCAGTAAGTACCGTAGTATGTTATATGTAAGGCACACTCTAGAGATCCCAGCATTGATTTTTACTCATCTGTAGCATGCTGCATTGGTAGCTGTGCAAGCATTCATAATAGCGAGAATGCCAGATTGCCAATCACAGCTCTTCAAGGTTCCGTCCGTCAACATTAACGGTCAACATAGGTGCCATGTATCCCAAGGCTGGCTGGTGGTACAGTATCCAGTCAAGTCAAACTCAGGGGGGAGGGGTCCGACTTCATGGTACACAATTCAAGCTGGTGCGTACAAATTAACCGCTCTAGAACGTACAGCATCAAGTAAAACCGCTTTTTCTGATCAGAAAGCGAACCACCTGGACCCGCCATCGTGCTCCATGGAATTTTGACAGAGTCCGTCAGCTTTCAGGAAGCTATCTGTAAGGAAGCATCAGGACGAGGAAATGTATCAGGAGAAGGTTGGTGCCTGAAACTTATTTGATGCAGCTGGTCTCAGCTTCGTTCAACATACCTGATGCAGCTAGTCTCAGCTTCACGCCTTTTCGCTCGTGCATCGCAAGACAATAGCTACTAGCTTGATATATTGTTCATGTAGACAGGAAATTGTCCGTTTTTTTAGTTATTCCGCTGTCGTCGAAAACTGTGCTGTCACTGTCTATCAGAGCACGTCAGTGTAGAATACGATCGGCCCGTGCAAGCTGTCGTGCGAGTTCAGCGTTTTCGTGATTCGACTGGCAGAATGACAGTCGCTCGACGGATTCCGGTAGCTCGACGGATTTCGTCAGCTCAGCTTTTTCTGTTTCTGGCTCACGGGTTTTCCCTTCTGCACGTGAGTCTCGTTCTGGCGACTATTTTGTCGATTCATGCACGAGAAACTTTAAGCTTCTAACATGTATCATGGTCTCTTTTCGAAACTTTTCGGTTGTCCGTCTAAAGGTCACTGATGCAGTTTTAGTTTCTAACGTTCGTCTTCAATGAATCACGAACCTCCTCCTGAAAATGCTCACAGGAGGGTGTCTGAAATAGAAGATGTTAGCTCTGTAACTCACTGATTATGGTTCACCGTTCCGCACACGTATCCATGCATTCGCGTCCGGATACGCATCCGCGTCCCTCTTCTCTCCTTCCAGTCACTATGCCTCTCCCGGCCTTCCTTTTCCTCTCCCGTTATTGCCACATCAGGCTGGATATGCAGCAGACGAACGCATTCACCATCGCGATGCCCTTGTGAGTGAATGACTGATGTGAGTGCAGCATGATTAGATTATGTGAGTGCAGCATGATTAGATTATGCGAGTGCAGCATGATTAGATTATGTGAGTGCAGCATGGCGCGTGAAATCTCACATCAGGCTGGATATGCAGCAGACGAACGCATTCACCATCGCGATGCCCTTGTGAGTGAATGACTGGTACAATGATGTGATGACATGATGTGATGACATGATGTGATGACATGGTGTGATGACATGATGTGATGACATGATGTGATGACATGATGAGTGCAGCATGATGTCGCCCTGGGGGTTTTTAATTTGTCCTGACTGGCTGGCAAGTGACTGGCTCCTTATTAACACAATCCCCACCTTTTCCCTACTTTGATCACTTCCCCTTCATGTTTCCCACGCCCTCTGCTCCTCAATACACTTAATTATTGTATACACTTCTCTCCCCGCCCCCCCGCCACCACCTTGCTCGTCCCCCCTTCAGTCGCGAGCCATCATAGATGCTTTCCCTGACGTCCCCACGCTGATTGATTTCGGATTCCCTGACCATCTGTGCGGGACGTGGCACCACAATTACACTCGCATGCACCAGCAAATCCGGGCAGCCAGCAAAAATCCCTCCTCTGCCCCGCCGCCCGACATGCCGCCCGTGAAATTTCTCACCTTTGACGGCCTCAGCCACTGCGACAGCCTCGGGGAGACCCTCATGGGGCTGACGTCAGCATTCACTGTTGCTCTGCTCACTAATAGAGCCTTCGTTATAAAGCACCCGTGCATTCCCATGGCGTTTGAACCGGCACTGATTGACTGGCAACCAACTGAGGACGTGGGATTTGAGCCGGTCAGAAACGAAACTTTTCCGTTGGACCCTCCTGACCGGGCTGTCACGCCGCCAATAGGAGCTACCGATATTGTAGAGATCAATTTGGAATTAAATCCTGAAGCACACCCGGAAAACGTGTTTCCGAAGGTGGAAGCTGCGAGGAACCTGCGTGTGGTGTGGAATAAGGACCTTCTGGTGCATATGCTGAAGGGAGCGAATGAATCGGTGTGGGGAGAGAAACTCAGGAGCATGGGCGTGCGAATTCCGTACGCCTTTGGGTGCTTCGTTCGATACTTGTTGAGGTGAGCGGATAATTGAGAGGATATGGTTCATTAGAGAGAGAGAGAGTGGGTCAGTCGGAGTGGCTGATCCCACGGGTGTGTTGCTAGCGGATTATCAAGCAGCCTGTTTTAGTCCCTCCCTCTTTTCCTCTCACATCCCTTCATTCACTCCATATATCTTAGCCAATGTATGGCTTCTGAGGCTCCTAAAACATTGTTAGACTATTTCCCTCTCTGCTTCATTTCCTCCCTTCTGTTGGCCCGTTCTGTCCTTACGTTGTCTACTATCCCACGTTTTTTGTTTTCTGTTTCTCCAGGCCCAAGCCGGAGGTGTGGCACAGGATGCAGCCGTTTGAGAAGCAGCTGAGGGGAGACAAGGTGGTGAGCATTGGCATGCACGTGCGACAGTTCGGCCGCGGCCCCCCCCCGCCCAACACCACTGTCAGCCCGGAGGAAGTGAAGCAAGTCATGGACGACGTCGTGTGGCCCGCCATTGAGTGTGCCAAGGTGAGTGGTCCCCTTCAGATGAATGGGGGAAAGGAAGGGGAGAGCTCTTCCCCCTCCCCCTCCCCCCCCCCCCCCCGCGCCCAACACCACTGCCAGCCCGGAGGAAGTGAAGCAGGGCATGGACGACGTCGTGTGGCCCGCCATTGAGTGCGCCAAGGTGGGTGGTTGCTTCTGAGAGAGTGAGCTGTCCGTTTTAGCAGGACAGAGGAAAGGAAAAGGAGAGCCTTCCTTGCCTCCACCACGGCCCCCAACACCACTGTCAGCCCGGAGGAAGTGAAGCAGGGCATGGACGACGTCGTGTGGCCCGCCATTGAGTGCGCCAAGGTGGGTGGTTGCTTCTGAGAGAGTGAGCTGTCCGTTTTAGCAGGACAGAGGAAAGGAAAAGGAGAGCCTTCCTTGCCTCCACCACAGCCCCCAACACCACTGTCAGCCCGGAGGAAGTGAAGCAGGGCATGGACGACGTCGTGTGGCCCGCCATTGAGTGCGCCAAGGTGGGTGGTTGCTTCTGAGAGAGTGAGCTGTCCGTTTTAGCAGGACAGAGGAAAGGAAAAGGAGAGCCTTCCTTGCCTCCACCACGGCCCCCAACACCACTGTCAGCCCGGAGGAAGTGAAGCAGGGCATGGACGGCGTCGTGTGGCCCGCCATTGAGTGCGCCAAGGTGAGTGTACAGAAATGAAAAGAGAACTACCAACTCGTCCCATCTCCAACTCACCCTCAGCCCCTCGCGTACACAGTGGTAGCATTATTCCTTAAATCCCCCCACACGAAACATTCAAACCCCCCTTTCCCCCCACCCACAATTTTCAGAATCTGGAGAACTGGTGGTACCCGCCAACGCTTGACGTGAAGTGGCTCGTTATTAGCGACTCGTTGCAACTCAAACAGGAGGCTACCAAAGTGAATGATTCCAAGGTGATGTGAATGAAATCACTGATCTCTCCTCTCCTTTCCATTCCTCCCAGCTCCTCTCCTCTATCTCCTCTCCTCTCTTTCCTCTCCCCCCCTCTCCTCTCTCCCTCTTGCGAGAGCTTTTCCAATATGACTTCTGAGCCAAATAATATGTTACCCTGCTTGCAAGAGCTTATCCTGAATTTTCTTCCACCACCATTCCCCCACTCCCTCCTCCCCTGCAGATCGTGATCACTGAATTCGAACCGTGGGTCCCACCCTCCCTCCTCAGCATCACCCAAAGCCCCCCTCCTCCACCCGCGCCCGCACCCCCTCCCTCCTCCGACCCTTCTTCCGATCCCACCACCCCTGAGGGGCCCCCGCCCCCTGCAATCCCCTCTGTTCAAACCTTCCAAGAGACAGTCACTGAGTGGCTTCTCCTCTCCTCGTGCAACTCCTTTATTGTTTCAACCTCCGCCTTTGGCCGTACGGCTGCCATGTATTCAATGCACCCTATGAGCATCTACACGCCGCAGTCGTGTGAGCCTCAGACCCCCGTCCGCGTTAGCAGCTTCGGAGAGGGGTCAAAGCGGCAGTTCTGACTGTCTGTGAGCCTTTCAGTTTCTTAGTCCCCATATTTACCTTTCTGGTCGTCATTTGGAATCCGAGTCTGCTTTTTAGCGGACGTTTGAAGTGCCTCATACCGTAGGTCTTTCTGGCCCTCAAGAGTTTTACCCATAGCACAGTGATGTGTAAAGGCCCAGATCGTTGAGGGATTGACACCAGCCCGCTTCAGCAGCTCGACATTGGTTCTGGCCGCAAACCTGCGACCTGAAGAGTTGCATTGCATTGTGTTACATACACTAGTGTCCTACTGCATCCCATAAGAATCTCAATCGACTGATGACTCTGTTTCATCCACAAGGGTGGCTGACATTCATTTACAGTAAGCACACAGGACAGGAATCCACTAATATTGTCAGTCTCAGTGGAATGAGAGTCATTGATCAAAGTACTCTGCTCGTGCAGGAGCAAAATAGATTGCAACCTTGAAGCAAGGGTACAACTAGGTTGATTGACTGAGCCATCAACATTTTGCTGTGTTCATCTTATCCCAGTCCCTTTATGTTCATGGCAGCTCTGCTACCTGAGGAAGAAAGGATTAATAAAATCATTATTCATAATAGTAATAAATAGATTAGGTGATCTGTGATGATGTGTCTCAGAACTCCCATCATGACCTGATGGGTACGACCAACTGTGGCTTGCACGCATTCATCAAGTAAGGTGTACACTCATAGGCTGCACTCTGGATACCATAGACTCGTTAGGCATCTAAAAGATGTGAGTACACTCAGAACTGCCGCCGTGACCAGGAGACGAGAGTACTGATGGGTACGGGCGCCTGTGGTCTGCACGAGTGAGTCATGTAAATACTCATCGGCTGCATCGAATACATAGCCGCCGTACGGCCATAGGCTGAGGGCGAAACGACAAACGAGTCGCAGGAGGAAAGGAGAAGCCACTCGGTGACTGTCTCTTGGAATTCTTGAACGGTGGGGATGGGAGGGAGAGGGGGCCCGGTTGGTGTGGGCGTGGGAGGGGTGGAATTGGAAGGAGGAGGCGGAGGGGGAGGGGGAGGGGGGCGGATGCTGAGGTAGGGGGATGGGATCCACGGGGTGAACTCGGTTATCACAATCTGCAAAGGAAAGTGGGGAAGGGGGGGAGAGGGAGTAGAAGGGCGGCTTAAAAGTCTGGAAAGGGCGTAACAAGCTGGGGAGAAGTGCGTTGGGTGGTGTTGATGCTGAGGACGAGGGAGGGAATTTACGGGGTGAATTCGATGATGACAATCTGCAACGGAAAGAGGGGGAGAGAGAGGGGGAGGGGAGCGGAAGGTGAGAGGAAGAGGGGGAGGGGAAGGAAGAGTTTTTTCATCAAAAGCCTTGGGATGCCGAGGGAGGGGGATGGAATTCAGAGGGTGAATTTGGTGATGACAATCTGAAAAGGGAAAGTGGGGGGAGAGGGAAGAGGGGAAAAGAGGGGGTGGGACAGGAACATGGAAGGTGCCTTTCTCAAAGTCATATCACCACAAGATTGGGTTGAATGTTGAGTCGACTCAAAAGTCAACTCTTCTTTAGAGTCGACTTAAAAGTCAACTCTTTTGAGTCATCTCGAATATGCGATGCCCTTTTGAGAATCCCCCAAAGGAGCATGGAAGGTGCCTTCATCAGAGTCAATTTTGCTTTTGAGTCGACTCAAAAGGTGCCTTCATCAGAGTCGACCACAAGATGGAGTTGAATGTTGAGTCAACTTGAAAGTCAACTCCCTTGAGTCGACTTGAAAGTCAACTCTCTTGAGTCGACTTGAAAGTCAACTCTCTTGAGTCGACTTGAAAGTCAACTCTCTTGAGTCGACTTGAAAGTCAACTCTCTTGAGTCGACTTGAAAGTCAACTCTCTTGAGTCGACTTGAAAGTCAACTCTCTTGAGTCGACTTGAAAGTCAACTCTCTTGAGTCAACCTGAAAGTCAACCTTTTGAGTCGACTCAAAGATGTGATGTGTAGCACTTATGAGAATTACCAGAAGGAACACGCAAGGTGCCTTCATCAGAGTCAAATTGAGTTGAGTCGACTCAAAGTCAACTCTATCCATGAGAGATAGACGCAACACGAAACTTAAAGTCAAATCACCACGAATTGTTATAATCGCATCACCTGTTATCGTCAAATCACCTTGGACTCGTTATAGTCACATCTCCTTGGACGAGTTACAATCACATTACCTTGGACTCGTTTCCCTTGATGACCTCCTGTTTGAGTTGCAGCGAGTCGCTAATAACGAGCCACTTCACAGTGAGAGCTGATGAGTACCACCAGTTCTGCACATTCTGTTGTTGAGGGGGGGTGGGGTGGGGGTGTGTGAACAAGGGGAGAAAAGTGGATTTCTGATCACAAGCCACTTCACTTCACAGTGAGAGCTGAGGAGTACCACCAGTTCAGCACATTCTGTTGTTCAGGGGGATTGGGGTGTATAAGCAAGGAGAGAGAGTTGGTCTGATTTAGTTGCACTGCTTTGCTGATGACAATGCCTGATGACAATGCCTGATGACAAAATCGTTCATGCCTCTCTGCAACTCCCCGGGGCTGACGGTGATGTTTGGCCGGGGGCAGGGTGAGCTCTCTCCTTCCCATCAACCTTTCAATGGGAGAGCCTTACCTCAGCTCACTGGAAGGCGGGTCGCACGGAGTCGTTCATGCCTCGCTGCAGCTCCTCAGGGCTGACCGTGGCGTTGGGTCGCAGGGGGTGGGCGAAGGGAACTGGGGCGGGGGGGAGGAGGAGGGGGAAAGGAGGGGGGCTTTCCCAAGGCGACCACTGACCTCAGCGCACTGGAAGGCCGGCCGCACAGAGTCGTTCATGCCTCGCTGCAGCTCCTCCGGGCTGACGGTGGCGTTAGGCCGGGCGGGGCCCTGACCGAACTGCCTCACGTGCATGCCGATGCTCACCACCTTGTCTCCCCTCAGCTGCTTCTCAAACGGCTGCATCCTGTGCCACACCTCCGGCTTGGGCCTGCGGGGCGAGTGAGGGGATAGAAAAGGATCACACAAGGGAGGATGGGAGGAAGGGTTGGAGGGAGAGGGGGAGGGAGGGAGGGAGGGAGCGGAAGAAGGAAGCTTGATAATCTGCTGTTCACGTGCATGCCGATGCTCACCACCTTGACACCCCTCAGCTGCTTCTCAAACGGCTGCATCCTGTGCCACACCTCCGGCTTGGGCCTACAGGGGAGTGGAGAGAGGAGAAGGGAGAGACCCGGGGGGATGGATGATTGAGGTAAGCCTGTGCTCACCACCTTGTCGCCCCTCAGCTGCTTCTCAAACGGCTGCATCCTGTGCCACACCTCCGGCTTGGGCCTGGGGAGGAGGGGAGAGAGGGGTGGGGGAAGGATGTATCAGGTAAGGATTTACAGTGTAATGCTCACCCGTGCGCCCCCCCACTCTCCCTCAGCTGCTTCTCAAACGGCTGCATCCTGTGCCACACCTCTGGTTTGGGCCTGAAGAGGAGGGGAGAGAGGGAAAGGGGAAGGATTGATGAGGTAAGCCTGTGCTTGCCTGTTCTCACTACCCAACTGGACCCATTTGCACAACTGTTATGAAGCCTCCAAGCTCCCAGAACCCATGTGTCCGCAGTTACCCTCCCACCTCTCACCATCTCACCTCAGCAGACATCGAACAAAGCAGCCGAACGAATATGGAATGCTGAAACCCAACTCCCTAAGTCTCTACCTCCACACCGACCCATCCTCACATTCACCTCAGCAGGTATCGCACCAAGGCAGCCGAACGAGTACGGGATACTGACGCCCATATCCCTAACTCTCTCCCCCCACGCTGACCCATTCACGTCTTTTCAGCATATGCACCAGCAGGTCTTTATTCCACCGCACCACCTCTGACCCTCTCAACTCAGCGAGTATGCACCAGCAGGCCCTTCAACGAAACCTTATCCTCTCAATCACCCACTCACCTCAGCAGGTACCGCACAAGGCAGCCGAACGAGTACGGGATACTGACACCCATCTCTGACAGTCTCTCTTTCCACGCCGAACCCTTCACGTCCTTCAGCATATGCACCAGCAGCTCCTTATTCCACACCACACGCAGGTTCCTCGCAGCTTCCACCTGCGGAAACACCTTCTCCGGGTTCGCCCTGTCATCTTTTTCCAGATTGATTTCAACTATATCGCTCGCTCCTATTGGAGGATTGACCGCCGAGTCTTTTGACCCCAACGGAAAAGTTTCGTTTCTGACCGGCTCGAATTCCACGTCCTCTGTGGGTTGCCAGTCGATCAGCGCGGGTTCAAAAGCCATGGGGATGCACGGGTGCTTTATAACGAAGGCTCTGTTAGTGAGGATAGCTACAGTGAATGCTGACGTCAGCCCCATGAGCGTCTCCCCGAGGCTGTCGCAGTGGCTGAGGCCGTCAAAGGTGAGAAATTTCATGGGTGGCGTGCCGGGCGGCGGGGCAGAGGAGGGATTTTTGCTGGCTGCCCGGATTTGCTGGTGCATGCGAGTGTAGTTGTGGTGCCATGTCCCGCAGAGGTGGTCTGGGAATCCGAAGTTGACGAGGGTGGGGACATCAGGGAAAGCATCGATAATGGCTCGAGACTGAAGGGGGCGGGAGAGGTGTGGGGGATTTGCGGGGGAGAAAAGTGGGAGGAGAGGATTTGCTGGTGCATGCGGGTGTAGTTGTGGTGCCATGTGCCGCACAGATGGTCGGGAAAATCCGAAGTTGACGAGAGTGGGGACGTCAGGAAAAGCATCGATGATGGCTCGCGACTGAAGGGGGGAGGAGAGGGGCGAAGGCGGGAGGGGAAGGGCGGGCGGGGGGAATGAGGGGGAGGGGGAAGAGAAAGGATGCTGGGGGTTTGGGAAACCATGGGAGAGGCGAAGTTGTCGAGTGTTGGGAGGTCGGGGAAGGCATCAATGATGGTTTGAGACTGAAGCAGGGAAGGTGTGTGTGGAAGGCGGGGAGGGAGGGAGGGAGTTGAAGGGGAGAGGGGGAAGGAGAAAGGATATCGGGGATGGGGAAGGCATAGGAAACATGAAGATCCTGGTGGTGCATGCACATGTAGCTTCGGTGCCGGCCAGGTGCCAGTCATATTGCAGTCACAATACCACATTATGCTGCACACACAATACCACACCATGCTGCACACACATCATCGCACCATGCTGCACACACATCATCGCACCATGCTGCATTCATATCGTCAGATCATGCTGCACGCACATCAACACATCCGGCATCATTACTCCATGCTGCACGCACATCAACACATCAGGCATCATTACTCCATGCTGCACGCACATCAACACATCAGGCATCATTACTCCATGCTGCACGCACATCAACACATCAGGCATCATTACTCCATGCTGCACGCACATCAACACATCAGGCATCATTACTCCATGCTGCACGCACATCAACACATCAGGCATCATTACTCCATGCTGCACGCACATCAACACATCAGGCATCATTACTCCATGCTGCACGCACATCAACACATCAGGCATCATTACTCCATGCTGCACGCACATCAACACATCAGGCATCATTACTCCATGCTGCACGCACATCAACACATCAGGCATCATTACTCCATGCTGCACGCACATCAACACATCAGGCATCATTACTCCATGCTGCACGCACATACATCAACACATCAGGCATCATTACTCCATGCTGCACGCACATACATCAACACATCAGGCATCATTACTCCATGCTGCACGCACATCATCGCACCATCCATCCATCCATTCACTTACAAGAACATCTCGGTTATGACTGCGCTCGTCTGCGGCCGCATTTCGAACCTGATGTGACAATAACGGGGGGGGGGGGGGAGGAGGGGGGGGGGTGGGTGGGGGGGGCGGGGGAAAGAAAAGGGGGAAGTGTAATCAACTGCTATACCATGATTGTTTCCATGCTGAGCATGATTCTTTGGATCCACTAGAAGGATCGGAAACTCTCGTGTGATAATATCCGGAGGTGAGATTGAGTTGACTCGAAGTACACGGTACACCTCTCTCTATGCTGAGCATGATTCTTTAAATACACTCCCAAGGGATCAGAGTAATCTCTCGTGTGATAATAGGCGCATTCCTGGGTCCATTTTAAATATATGACAAAACTCTCGTGTGATAATAGCCAAACGTGATCTTTGAGTCGACTCAAAACACACCTCTTTCAATGCTGAGCATCATTCTCGGTTTGGATCCATTCCAAATCTCCGAGGGAACTCACGTGCAGGAAAGGAACGCAGACGAGCAACAGAATCCGCGCAACTGACGAAATCCGTCGCGCGAGCATGGTCTTGTTCGTCAAGTAACGAAACACGGTTAGCCTGACACAACTGACAGATACAGCCTGGAAGTAACTTTTGAGTCGACTCAAAAGTCAACTGACAGATACAGCCTGGAAGTATCACATTTGTTTCCCAACGATGAGGGGGGGGAAGCTGGTTCTATCAGAACTCAGAAGGAGAATTTTACAGACACAGCTTATGATAAGGAGAGACCATGAAGGACTTTCTGCTAGCAGTACTAGGGGAAATCGCTGTGAATCCTGGCTGTATCACTTCCATTCCCTCCATTCCACCTCGCAACATCGTAATTTTTAACCGTACAGAACGGTCGAGGACGATGGAGTGCATGTCAGAGTGGTGCATGCCGGACATCATCTGTTTGGAACAATAGTAGTAGGATGGCATGGCGTGGCGTCCCCCTCCCTCCAAACAAATCATCTGTCCTATCATCCCTACGACCATGGCTTCAGTTCAGGCGCCATGAATCTGATGTACATACATTCGGCAGCAGAAATGCCGGCCAAAGAGGTGTTTCCGAAGGTTAAACACGGTAAACTATGTTCAAGCACGTTTTTATGCGTTAACTCACGATTTTATAGCATCACAGATCGGTGTTAGCCTCCGTCCCTTCTGTGGTAGTACGTTCGATTGGAACTTGGATTGGAACTTGGATTGGAAGTCAAGCTTGACTTCGTGATGACTCCGTTTACTCGACATGTTAACACTCGCTAACATTGGCTTCGTTTATCAATGGCAAAAAAAATCATTTGTTTGAAGGGAACCGCTCCTACAGCATGCTCCAACAAGTGTGTATAACCACCCTTGTTTACAGCAAGTGAAATTGATGATACCCTAGAAGTGTCTTGCCACCATTTAGTAAAACTCTTAGGCTTTTCACGAAAGCCACAGAATATACTAATGTTTTTACTATCGCTAAAACATCATATTGCATCCAAATCCTTCACTTCTTCTCCTCATACTCCGCCTCCTGTGCTCCTCCGGTCGAACCTCCTCCAGAAGAAGACGAGCTGCTGCCGCCGCCCGCTTGCCTAGAGATAGCCTCTCCAATCTTGAGAGAGGCCTGCTGGGCGGCGGAGATCTTCTCCCGGATCTCCTCCAGATTCTCCTTCTCCAACGACCCCTTGAGATCAGCAATGGCCGCTTGCACCGCCTCCACCACATCCTGCGAATTGGGACAACATAAGTAAAAAGAATAGATATTCCTTGTACAAATTGAAAAAATCATTATAGACTCTAAAGCAACGGCCGCTTGCACTGCCTCCACCACGTGCTGTGAATCAGGACAGCACATGGAAAAAAACATCAGAAGTGAACATCCGCATGGAGGTCAGGATGATGAAAGCACGGTGATGAAATATATACACGTAAGACGGATTGAAACATTGGGAGGATGGAGGTCGTTCAGTGGAAAGGACTACGAGACTCTGCACTCACACTCGGAAGCTTCTCCTTGTGCTCGTTCAACGACCGCTCGACAGAGTACATGGTGGTGTCCGCGTCGTTCCTCGCCTCGATCAGCGCCTTCCTCTCCTTGTCCTTGCCTGCATACTGCTCCGCCTCCCTCACCATGCGATCAATGTCCGAGTCTGAGAGTCCTCCAGACGACTGCATGATTGGATAAGGGGGCAACACAAGGGTCATAACAGGGAGTTGCAATGGGTAAGGAGTAAGGAGTGAGAGTCGTCTCCCCTGCTTGTCCTTGCCTGCGTACTGCTCCACCTCCCCCACCATGCGATCAATGTCCGAGTCTGAAAGACCACCAGATGACTGCACGTTCAGAAGCTTTTCCTCTCCTTGTCCTTGCCTGCGTACTGCTCCGCCTCCCTCACCATGCGATCAGTGTCCGAGTCCGGCAGCCCACCGGATGACTGCATGGTTGGATGGAAGGGAGGACGAAAGATAACACAGGGTTACAAGATAGGGTTGCAAGGAGCAATGAGAAAGCGACAGACGCCTTCCTCTCCTTGTCCTTGCCTGCATACTGCTCCGCCTCCCTCACCATGCAATCGATATCCGAGTCTGACAGCCCACCCGATGACTGAGCGGCCGGATAAGAAGACAACAAGAGGGTCATAACAGGGAGTTACAAGGAGCAAGGAGTGAGAGAAGCCTTCCTCTCCTTGACCTTGTACTGCTCCACCTCCCTCACCATGCGGTCAATGTCCTAGTCCGACAGCCCACCCGACGACTGCACAATGCGATGAGGTATGTGGAAATCGCAGCAGGAAGCTAAGATACTAAGAGGGGTTGTATAGAGCAAGGATGCCAGACCCAATATCAAACATTGCTTCCATCTGCAGCATGCCTCTGGGCGCGGGGGGAGAGGTGAGCGGGTACAGACCGAGCCCAGTAGCCACCCTTCCCAACCCTCCCTCCTCCTTCCTCCTCCCCTCCTCAACCCAATCCCTCCCTCCTCTCCCCCCTCTCCACCCTCTCCCCCCCCTTCCATCTCTCTCTTACCTGAATC